TTTTTTCTTTGTCTCGTTCCCTTAGGAATTTGTGTTCTTTATGCAGTTCTTATGTTTGTTAGTAATGAACTATATTATTTGTGCTACTTAGAAATTGAGACGCATTAGCAAGAGTGTTCAATATAAAACAAATCACCAGTCCTATGTACAGTTGAGAAAAATCTCATAATTCTGAAACTTATGAAATGTCAGGATCACTGAAGCAGCGTTGAAAGGCAGATGCCTTTAAAAATTAGTTTAACTTGTATCTTTCTTTTACTTAGGTTAAATTGCAAAAGTGTATCTTATTTTCTTTTAATATCAGCTGACATCTTCACTTAGGTTCATTTTAAGCACTGTCACAACCAGCAATCCTAAAATAAAACATGAAAATAGATGGAAAGGGCAGTGCTATGCCTAAACTCAGGGCGTTTAAGGACTTCTATATGCAGATATGGCTATAAATTTTCTCTAGTTTTATTTTTCCTTCTCTTCAAAGGCAAAAATAATATAATTTTAGATAATCCAATTAAATTACCATTGATGACTGTTTTCTGTGGATTTGGACCAAGTGTCCTCTTTTCTATGTAATTCCATCAACTACAGTACCCTTATTTGATTTGTTACAGCCTGAGAGGAGGAAATTGTCTACAGACTATAAATGAACTTTCTAATATATAATGGCTTCCCTGCTAAGCTCTTCTGTTTATTTAGGACCTGCATTAGCAAGTGACGGTACTTTAAATTTTGCTGAACCTCTTTTTTGGCTGGCATATGGCTGGGATCCAGATTTTGTTTTCTGGCTCAATCCTGCACAGCGAGAGAGAATTACAAGAAAACTGAGTAAAAATGGATTGGGTGGTTCAGATGGATATTGATCTAACTTCTCCTAAGATTAAAGAAAAAAAAAAAAAAAGGGCAAGGAAAAGCATTCCAGCAGCAACTGTGCTTACAATTGCAATGCTGCACTTGCACCCCTTATCCAGGGATTTCTTGACGAGATAAATATTATCCCCTGTTTACCAAGTAGCAAGATGGGTAGGCAAAGTTATTTTGTACCTGGAGTGGAAAGTCAGTGGCATCATCTGGAGCAGACAGACTCCTGCCACCCTGACATCCAGGTCTTTGCTCAAAGGAATGCAGTTTAAAAGGCTGTTTTCTCACAAAGCCTGGCTCCTTCTTTAGTGTTTCAGGCCTTGGCTGTCCTTGGGAGAACTGAATAAAATTCCCCCTGTAAGAGGGAAGTTTTCCAGTGCTTGCTGGGAATTGCTGTCAACAGCCTGCCCAGGGGATTGCAGAAAAGGGGTTTAAGCAGGGAGGGGAGCTCTGTGAAGCATTCCCGGGGGTTTGCTTCACGGTAACGAAAGGGCAGATGAATTCTGCCCTATTGTATCCTGGGTAGTATTTGTAATAATTCAAGCATCACTTGACTTGGTAGTAAAGGTTAGCTTTGTTCGGTGGTTTGTTTTCCAACAGCTGTTCCCATGGAGAAGTCCCTCTTTCACTCACTGAGAATTCAGCCTGGGTTAGAGAAAGAAACCTTGAAAAGATTTGAAAAACAGGCCAGAAAAGGCACGGAGGTGGGGAGGCAGGACATGAGTAAGGAGAGGTCAGCCTCTTCTCAGAGCGCCCAGGGCTCGCTCGCACAAAGCAGCAACATTCAGTAGCCAGGGAGAGCCGTGTTTGCTCACGAAAACAAATTTTGAGATGTAGATACTTCTCACTGAAGAATAAACCCTCGAGAGTGATGCTGTGCTTTCCAGCCTCCTGCTGCAGACCCTCTTCCCCCGCGAAGGACGGGCTGTTTCCCTGCCGGCGTCCCCGCTGCGAGCTCCTGGTGCCTGGGTCTGTTCCCACCGACGCTGCGCCGTGCAGCGCCGTGCACGTTGTAGCTGGGGGCTGGGAGCACTGGTAAAGACACGTTCCAGCGTCAGGGAGGAAAGGAGCCGCGGATATGCTTTTCTGGGAGAACAAAAAGTGTAAATGGTGTTTGGGGGCAAGAAAAGCAAATAGGAGCGAGGACAACGTTCCAGCGTAGTGCCTCATACAGAGTAATGTTTTTCCTGTGTAAATAGCCTCCAACTAAATGTATTTCAGTTGTAAGCTTGTTGAGAGCAAATTGTGTTTTGATTGCATGAGGCGGTTTGACAAGCAATGAGGACATTTGGTGCTAACGCAGCGACGCCACAGTGCCTTTGAAAAGCTCTGTGCTCTAGTTGCTGCTTCCCAGGCATTGAGCTTGCCCGTTTTTTCCATCACGTCCTGGCGTTAGAGAAGGTGCCGTTTGGTTTGTACTGTGCTGTGTATGTGCAACCGAGGTGTAAGGCACCAGGCTTCCAGTACCCGGAGGACATTTCAAATCAGACTGAGTGTATTTCAGCCATGAGAAGCACCTAAGCCCAGCTGCGGCTACTCAGATCGTCTGTCACTACTGCTTAAAGCAATGGGGCAGGAAAGGTTCTCACATTTTTTTTTGCTTTGTCTACCCAAACTCTGACTTTCTTAAAGGTTACTGTTAGCTTAAGACACCTATCAAAAACCTTTCATATCTGTGTTCCTAAGGATGCCTTTAATTACTGTAATGGAAAAACACATTTAAAAATAATAATAATTTGTCAGTCACTACTTACTGGGGTTTATGTGGAGGATGAAAGTACAGCAGGAGTGTCTGTTTTGTTTATTTGCTGTAGTTTATTTCTAGTCAGACTTCATGTATTTGCACAGTGTTGTACTGTTAAGGGTGGTGTTTACCCTGAACGTGGGCAAAAGAACTGTTCTGTAACTAAGGACATGAGGAGACACAGGAAAGTCCTGGCAAATTAGCTAAAGATAGGTAGGATTTCAAATTTTTTTAGCCCCTCTTGCTGTCTCAATCCTAAGTCAAAACGTGTTAAATTTATGCAAATGTATTTCTGAATAACTGTCCATATAGGGAAGTATTTTTGCACCTTTTTTTTTTTTTTTCTTTTTTGCACTGATGCATTTTAAGTGCACACTCTAAATTCGTTTGCTTTTCAATGTGTGAGCAAGCTCTGTAGCCAAGGAGTAACTTCCTCAGCTGCCTCCATGGTTGCAGTCTCTCACAGTGCTACACATGCGTCCTGCTCCTTGTTACACCCACCTGGAGACCTACGGTTTGGGGACCGAGGGGACCAGAGGGAGTTGCACAGAGTGCAGGGTAGTATCCACGCATCTAAGGAATCTGACGCCCACCTCCCCCTCTACTCTCCCCTTGGTCCCGTTACAGGTATTCTGATTAACTACGGGATCCTTTGGATCCCACTCACCACAACAGATAGGCTCCTTGGGTAGTTAGTGACAGTGCAGATGCAGCAGACAAAACCTCGTCAATCTGCGTGGGAGGGAGAAGGGTTGGGAAGTCTCACAGAGCCTATCGGTCATTCTCCAAATGCATTTTGTATGCAGTTTTGCCATAACAGAGCGTTACCCCAGGCGGTGGCCAGAACTACTCTTCCTCCTCTGGTCTTGGGAAACGACCTCCCCTACCTGGTTGTGCGGGTGCTGGGACAGTATCCAGAGCAGAGCGATGGAGGCGCGACGCACGGCCTCGCTGCCGGATGCCAGGAGGGAGCGCAGCTTGGGGAGGACGTCCTCAGTAACCATCTTGGCCTGGATGTCCGCTGGTTTGGGAAAATGACCGAGGTCAGGGAGCTTCAGAGCACTGCGAGGAGGCATTCAGGCCCCGACTCATAAACATTTGACACTGCCTCAGTGATGAAATTAGAGGGGACCTCCCCATCTCCGTGGGATGGGACAATGCTGGATGTTTAGTTATAAAACTAAACCCTCATTTATTCTGGCTCCTTTTGCCAAAGGTTTAATACAGGCTTGAGAGCAGAATGTAGGTTTGGGTACCCTTCAGTCTGTGTCTGAACCTCAGTGAGAAGAAATGAGGGGTATTTTCCAAGTCCTTCATCGGCATAAGGCCTGGTAGGAAGGTGGCGGCTTCTGCTGCACAGACAGAAAGACAGACCTCCCCAGGCACCACCTGTCTTGCAGAGTTATGCTTAGCCAGGGGAGAGATCAGCCATCCTGGCTGAATCCTTATATCCCATTTGTCCCTGCAACTTCAGCGAGTGCTTTTGGGTCACTAAAGGCAACGCTGGAGCAGCCAGCAGATGGAGCGGCAGTCCTAGAAGGCCACGCAGACCAGAGGTTTTTAACCATGCCAAAGAGCAGCGCAGCAGTTCCTTCACTCCCAGCTCCACTATAATTGTGATATTGCTTCAAAATTAAGCACCTTAACATTTTCTAGATGAACAACTCTACTCTGGACCCTAGGGCTCTAGCGTTGAGCATGCCAGTCCTCTGCTTTCATGTCCCGAGTATGCCATAGAAACAGATCTTGGGCATTTAATAGGATAGGATATTTTTAAGAGGATGACAAATGGGAGAAAATTATATTTAATGATAGACAGATTCATGCCTTGGGAGAAGGCAGGTCCCCACTCAAGCAGCAATTTCAGGAGACATTCTGTCCTAATCAGGTTTAATGCTTAGGAAACATGGAAGGGAGAAAAACTTAAAAAGTTGGAAAGGCTCTGTGCATACGAACTCTGCTGTCTCTCACTTTTTCCAGATACTTCCCCTTGCTGGAGCTCTGAGGCAGGTTTAGTTAGTCTGTGCACTGCACCTCCCTCTTCCCTTATCATCCACTTGAAGTGTAGAAAACAGGTTCTCTCTTTGCTTTTAATATGAAAGGTTCCCAACCCACTGTGCTCACTCAGAAAGGCAGAGAAAGAAAGAAAGAGAAATAGTGCTTACCACTAGTAGCCAAATTTCTTAGGCAAACACATGCCTGGCTTGAAACCTGCTTGTGCCAAAGACA